GCTTCTGGTTGGTTGTACACAAAACTAGCCAATATCAAAAAGGCTTAAAAACACTGGATGTATATCTGCTCACCTGTGTGTTAAGATTATGTTATAGGTTTTGTCAGTAAGCTAGACCCAGCCTCGACCCAAATCTCGATGAGTAGTCAAGATTAACGTGCAATAGAAAAGACTTGGCCGTATCACCCCAGACAGCAATATGGTCCATTTAATACAATTGTAACACCACACGTGCTGTTCGCAGGATGAAAACATATAACGAGGGGCGTTCAAAAGGTTTTGCAACTCCAATATAAGACCAAGTCACAGAATATCTTTTGCACTTTTATTTTTCAATATAATCTCCATTCACCTCAATACACTTATTCCATTTGTCCATCGAGCTTTTAATACAACTTTTATAGAAATCCGCAGATTGGCTCTCTAACCACGCCTCTGTGACTTTTCGTATTCTTCATCCTTGAAGCATCTACCACGTAGCCGGAACAGGAAATAGTCACTGGGGGCTAAGTCTGGGCTGTAGGGTGGGTGATTTAACTGTTCGAATCCACATTGACATATGGCGGCCTGTGCAATTCTCGACTTGTGAACCAGAGCGTTGTCATGCAAAAGAAAATACCATGTGTTAACATCCCACAGCGTTTCTGGCGAATAGATTTTCGCAATTCTTTCATTACATTAGCATAATACTGTCCATTGATCTAAGTTTTTGGTGGCATGTCATCAATCAGTTATATGCTCTTGCATCCCAAACTATGGTGGCCAATACCTTGCCAGTCGGTTGGGTTCGAAACTTCCTCTGAGGCGGAGAATTGGGGTGCTTCCATTGCATGGATTCCACTTTAGTTTCTGGGTCCCAATGGTGGATCCATGTTTCATCACCTGTCACTAGACGAGAAAGAAATCTGGTTCCATCAGCAGTATAGAGATCCAGGAGGTCTCGACAACTTTCAGTTCTCTGATGGCGATCTTGAGCTCTGAGGTTTCTAGGTACCCATCTTGCAGATACCTCGGACATACCAAGATGCTCACAGATAATGTTTACAACAGTTCCAACTGATATTTGGAATTCCCTAAAAATTTCAGATACATTTACTCGTCGGTCAGACAAAATTCTTCTTTCTGTAGCAGCACTGGTTTCCGGTAGGGTGGCATCTGAAGGTCTGCCTGACCTTGGGTCATCATCTATGGACTCCCTACCCCTTTTAAACTGTGGAGACCAGTTGCAAACTGTAGAATTATCAGGAGCATCCTTACCCATCACTTTACACATGCGATCATGGATTTCCTTTGCTTTGCATCCCTCCTTGGTAAGGAACTTTATTGCAGCGCATTGTTCATGTTGGAGAGAATCCATGACCACCCTTAGGTTAATGAAGCCATCACACCTAACTTAATGTTGTGTCTTGAACTTGTTATGACACGTGTCAACCTGATGTTATGACTTGTGTCAAACCTGCCAAAAGTTGACATTGTTTGTGTAAACACAAATGCCCAAGTTGCAAAACTTTTTGAACGCCCCTCGTAGATATAATTTTACAAACACAAACAAATGTATAAAATAACAAATATTGTTTTGGTACATACGTTATGCGGGGCTCGTCTGGCATCAGCTCTTCTCCATATATCCTGTGTGAAGTGGGAGAAGCAACACGTCCACTCACACGGGAATATGGTCATGACAACATTTTGGCCATCGTTTTCAAAGTCCTTCTGCAAATAAAAACATCAATACTTAATTAAAAGGTACGTCACATGTTTATCCATTTGCAATATTAATGAACAGTTTACTGCCAAATGAATAACTGTACTTCAGGTTTACTTTAATATCCGTCCTGGAAGGTTTGGAGCGAAAGCTGTTATCCTCTCAAAGTAGCAGCATCTGGAAATAAATGGAACATCCTGTCGTACGTATAGGTAGTATGCTTCTTGTCGGGAAGGAGGAAATATACGTGACGGAACATCTCTCTGCCCACAAATGTGAAAATGATGAACACTTGAAGGAACATTATAAATGGCAACCCTGCTGTTCCATCGATATAAATTGCCTCAGCGTCGCAGAGATGACGAATGTTGTCTGTTGCGAATCCTATTTTGTCGATGTCACCGTCGTCTATTAGCAGAAAACCATCGACACCCTCTGTCTTGCAGAGCTTGTCTGTAGTTCTAAGTAGTGTCTAGTGGTGGGTCACTGTGGAAACATCTTCTTTTTGGCTCGGTAGAGGGTGTAGATGTGAAATGTGGCATGGCCTCCTCGCTCCACTCTCTCCCTCGCAATTTGTTTGACCTCTTCTCGGTAAAGGGATGGCAAAGACGTGGTTGTTGTTGCAGGCCACCTCTTTATGATATCCATGGTTACCTGCACCTAAAACATTAAATTGCGTTGTTAGTTTTTTACAATATGACCATTTTTGTTATTATTTTATTTACATTTCTGTCATTATTTTATTTATTTACTAACTCACTCACTCACGTTCTGCTTGTTTGATTTTAACATATATCCTAGAAAAACATGGAATACGTCCATCGCGATGAGATGGGATAAACTTCACTTCTAACTATATGTTTGCCATGTTGCAAGTGCACAGACTGTTTGCACAGGCTCCACCTACTATATATATTCTGTACAATGTTCTTCATTCAGTCTTGCTTGACAAGGGTATGGGGATCTATACCGAAACGTCGCCTTTACAGTATTAAAGTTGTTATCCATAAAGTGAGTGTGAGTGAGTTAAGTTTTATAGTCACATCGGCAATATTTCAGCCATATCGTGACTAAATCAAGTTTATCCATAAAGTGTGTCTACTTTGTCATATGTAAGTCACGTAGTAATTGCTGACTGAATACTCTTTGTTTGTTTGGAGTGAATGAGAGATACATACATTATAAAAAATAAATATGATCCTTTACCAACATAATATCTCAGAAATGGTACAGTGATATTGTGTAATTTCACCGTGATCTGTTTCTGTGTAAGTGCAAGTGAGTTGTCTCCCCTCTTACTGGAAGTGTGGGGCGCACTTAAAATATACACCATTAAGCTTGTCAGAATCATCACCACTACCTTATTCAAATCACAAGGAATATGTTTGTTTGTTTGTTTGTCGATCTATACATAATCGAGTAAGAACCAGACAAGAATCCAGTGATTGACATTATGAGAATCGTTCTGCGCAATTGGGATATGATGACATCCATCAACCAAGTTTCCTCTTTCGACAATTGCTGAAAACCAATTTTAACCCAGAATCTTTAACGTCTAACGGTCCACAGAGATTATCACGCCCGAACGGAATTAAAGATTTTTAATTAGGAAATTGCAAATAAATTATCTCCTTTGATACATCGAATCCATACTAGAACAAATTCTGGACTCGATCGATTCATCTACCAGAACGCTAAGGTCAGAGTTAATGAAGAAATACTTCCACCCTAACGTTGGACTCGGAGTATCCTCTGCTGACAGACCCACATATGATATGTACTAAGGTAATCCTATATGTACTAATCGGAAAGTAAGAGAAGACAGAAACACTCCCGAAGAGCCCCATCAGCTAGCCACAGCCCTTAACGGGCAACGGACTGCACAGCCGCACCCTTGTTATACATCGGAGAAGTCTGCCAGGAGACGACGTATCTAACAATGAGTGCAATGTCATCATTAGTCAAACGCTAATTCTAGCATAGGATATCCGGAACGTTAGCACTTCACAGGATTGTCATGTTTCATGAAAACGAAAATTTGGTTGATCTCTCTAAAATAACCATAACACTTTAAGCAGCTAAGATTGTCAGGACGAAATGTACAGAATTCATACACAATAAAACCTTCACCTGAGAGTATCTATCAATGAAGGATGACAAGATGTTTTCCTAATGACGAAGCAGGGTCACAATTCTTGAAAATTTATTAAAGAGAAACAAACTTAGATGTCGCATTTCACAGTACAGGCGGTCATCTTTTAGCCTTGCGAGTTCCACATATCGTCTGTTCGAATTTCCGATTCTGACAGTTCTGCGACAAACGTGGACCTCTCCCTTCTGTGGATAATGTCCCGACTCTGGAACACTTACGTCTCTCCTCCTTCTAGTGCTTTTGTCTATGCGGAGTAAATCCGTTTTTACTCACAAAAGCAGGGGTAGAATAGGTCTTCAGCAACCCATGCTTGCCGTAATAGGCGACGAACGGGATCGGGTGGTCAGGCTGGCTGACGTGGTTGATGAATGTCATCGTATCTGGTCCAGACTCAATTATTTACAGACCGCCGTCATATAGCTGGAATATTGCTTAGTGCGGCGTTAACAAACAAAGACAAAAGACACTTAAAGCAAAAGTAAAATATGTAGGTATTTTATGACATAATCCATATGATACAAGTTCAATTTAGATGTATTCACATGACTCAACCGTCACAAGTCAACGTCTTTTTGCATGACGCGGCCGGGGATCGAACCCCGGACCTTCCGCTCTCCGGTTGGACGCACTACCACTAGACAAGTGTATACGAAATCACAAGTATAAACATTATATACAACTATACTCTCCACTACAAAGCTTGAAATGCAAACTAGCTGTATATTCATCATGTACGCTTTTGTCAGGTGAATATGATTATCGTCGCGGGTTTATTAGTGTAAACAAGTTACATCAATTAATTAGTTGTTATTTTTCGTCTCTCACCTTCTCAAACACCTGTGTGCCACGTTGCTTAATCAACGATTATGCCTAAAAGTTGGTTGGTTGGTTGGTTTGTTGTTTAACGTCGCACTCAGCAATATTCCAGCTATTTGACGGCGGTCTGTAAATAATCGAGTCTGGAACAGACAATCCAGTGATTGATTTCATCAGCATCGATCTACGCAATTGGGAACGATGACATGCTTCAACCAAGTCAGCCATCCCTGAACCCGATCCCGTTAGTCGCCTCTCACGACAAGCATAGCCGCCTTTTACGGCAAGCATTGGTTGATACATTACATTAATCGCACATTAATACATTAATCGCACCAAACCACACAATGTGACAATATGGGTACATCAGTTACTCATGTTTTATCATGTACCGCAACGCCACGCGACAACCGCACTTTGGTTCTGGTCGGAAGTCCCCCGGCTGAAGGTGGACACCGATACGCTTCAGATCCTCATTGAGGAAATGGACAAGATTGCTCCCATCCGTTGTGGAGTAGCAGTATTGGAAGTTGATGACCTCAGGAATACCAGCCACCTTGCACAGAGTGAACATGTGTTGAGAAGAATCCGAGAACTGGATGTACAAGACACCACTGTGATACCGACTTGCCATCAGGCCTTCCCGCACCTGATTTAGGCAGTCGTCATACCCAGCTATTCCACGTTTCCACTTGTCTCTCAAAGCCTGCGCAAAGACTGGTCCCCATTGTAAATGTTTAGCAAGCAAAAGGCTAATGCCGAAAATGTTTGCATATTTGTTTACAGCAACTGCCTTGTCGGGAGTGTACTGAGCATTCTTTGTCCTGCCTAACGAGTTCAGTCTTTGTTTACAGACTATGCATGGATACCGAGCGTATGCAGAGATCAAATTACTAGAAGCTATATGTCCATATATTTCCAATGTATTCTTAAAGTTTGATGGTGCATTGATGCCTGTACATGGTCATGGAAGGAAATAAAGTGACAAAAGTTATTGATTCGGCTTGTATTTCTCTTGGTATTTCAAACATCAGGGTGCCAATCTTATCTCATATGCCAAACCTGCATCAAACATGTTGTACAATTCCCTATATATTTCTGTACGGGGAAGTCTAAGGGAAATGTTTCGTTTTCATTTCTAACGTTTGAAATAAGGTTTGAAATTGTAAACTGTCCAAATTAACACAAATACATGTGTACACATGAAAAGTTATTAATTTGTTTGTGTGTCGCTACCTCCTGCCACATGACATAACACACCTGCAAGATTGTATGCGGGTGTGGACACTGATGTAAGTGTGTGCATTTCTCCAACATTTCCAAACATTCCCAAACTAGGCATACATACATACAGACGAACATTAACCAATGACCCAGCGCTTCAAAATCACAGCAGCAGGCAACAGAGCTCTCCACCCATGCCACGGTGGATTCACATTCCTTTCATCAAAATTATCTGTCGACTCAATGTGTGACAATTTGGATCATCGTCCAATTCTGAATCCCATTGCTGCTTTACGACCACATACCGGGCATACCCTCAGACAAGAGTCGGTGAAGATATTACGTCTTTTCAGGTCGACTGCAAGAAGATTGAAAAAGATAGATGGGTTTGGGTCGAATTCTAAACCAATGGTGTCATAATTGCATGGGAAAACTGTTTCTGTAATCCCTAAGTGTTGACAATCAAAACTTCTTGTGCGAATGTAAAAGTAACTTGTGTTGATATCGTTCAATTTACTTTTCACACAATCCCAAAGACTTTGGTAGTCAGGTAGCTTCTTTTTACATATTCCGTAAAGCACTTGTTCAAAGTCTTCGAGGACAGGTGCCTTCAGTTCCTCTAATCCAAAGTACTCCGCATATTCATTAACCTGTGATGCTCTTTCGGGTGGAGGCATTTTCCCGAATCTCAGAAAGTTGAGGATATGAACAAACACATCCCCATCTACATCTATGAAGTAGCGGCCATCTTTGTCCTTGGCTACCGGGTGCCTTCCACTAAACATGGTGGCCAACATGGAGTCCGGGTACTTGGTGAGGGTGGACAGGGAGGTTGTCAGATGTCGACCACCAACGTTTAAGTCCACAACTTGAGAATCCTGAAATACAACACATTGTTAATGCACATGTGATTCTACCTTACATTTAGAAAATACTCGATTCTCATTGGTCTATCAAAGGTGTCAAATCACAATAACCGCCTCTGACTGAAACACTGATTTAATGGTCGCATCGAAGCTAATATTTACATTCTGAACTAACTTATTTCTCGATCATGTTCCAGAATCAACTTGGCGGATATTTACAGGTAAACTAGCTCCATGAAAAGGATGGTATGTTTATCTCTTAAATTAGACCAATTGGTCAAATTAAAATGCACTATATACATCGCCTGAATGATAACACAATCAGAAATGTATTTCTTTTCAAAGATTTACATTTCCGAGAATGTACAGATATCATTTCGGGGTGAAAAAAAACCTACGCGAGACCACGTACACATTTAATGCGTAAATAGCTCTGTTCATTTCCTTGTTGCTAAGGACCTATTCTTTCCAGGAATCCCAGCAGGCTAGTATGTACATACACTCTGAGATAAGACTTTTTAAGGTACATAAAACGGACATGACAATGATTAATTGGTCTAAGAGCGGTTTCAGAATAAATATTGATTTGACACACCGCGTATAACATGATAAATACTTTCCAAATATGGAAATAGTCATTTGGCTTCTTTACAGCAACTGATGTATTGGAACATGAAGAAGGACATTCAGTTTGATTCAGTAATTTGATAACTCACCAACCAACACATGTAATGTGCCAAAGATAAGAATATCATATGAGGCAATGATGCATGTTTCCCAATTACGACAAACATCGAACTGATTCAGACAAAATTCAATGTATATACATCATGGAATCAAGCTACATATGACGGTGGATATGCCACCTACCTCATTTTGTTTGTTTGTTGTTTAACGCCTTACTCAGCAGACCAGACAATCCAGTGTTTGACATCATGAGCATCAATCCACGCAATTTGGATACAATGACATGCATCAACCAAGTTAGCGAGCCTGACTACCCGATCCTGTTCGTCGCCTCTTAGGACAAACATGGGCTGCTGAAGACCCATTCTACCCCGGATCTTCACAGGTCTCAATCGTAATGTATTGAGGAAAAACAAGATATTCAAGACCGCTTTAACGTAGAACATCTACTCTCGCTTACATTTCTTTGAAGTATGGAGGACAGCTAGGCTCTCTGGCCTAACACAACAGCTTATAGTTAGTTTGTGACAGACTGAACTGATTTTGATATCCGATATTGCAAGACCGATACCCAGCTGTGTGCTTATTAATAATACATGTATCTGAATCACCACACATTGTAACAAAGGCATGTTTCCGCGCTTGAGGCAGATGTATGCGACGATCCCGCGAGACACTAAGGTACCATTGTGCCAAAGTGAACAGGAAATTCTTCACCTAACGAAAGGAGTAATTACACTAGAAGACATACTACGAAACACGAGTTGGTAGTTCGATGTTGGTCCTATAAAGACAGCGTTTGCACTGGCTGTTTGGCGTGATAGATTAGGTAAGCCGTCACTTTAATTATTGATTATCTTGTTTTTCGCTTTCAGATATGTGCGTCCTGCACCTGTGTATAGCACCCGATCCCGTTAGTCGCCGATAACGGCAAGCATTGGTTGTGAAGACCAATTCTACCCACCAGTTTTACATCGCATCTGTGATATTTAAGTTATTGTACTGTCCATCGTTTGAAAGGTTTTTATTTAATCTAAATATTTGTATTATTAATGCATTACTTTTCTTCACGGTTTGGCTGAAATACTGCCGATGGGACGTTACATACTCACTCACTCACTCACTCACTCTACCCCTACTTCATTAATTAAATAGAGAACTCCAGTTTGCCTTTCTCCATGAACACTCTTATGCAAAGTTAGTTAAGGTTCTTATTAGATTACAATTCCTCTGACGTGAATTGTGATTTGTTCAGATTTTACACAATCTAGGCACCAATGTTTTTGATGCGGTGAATTATAATATACCGCCAACGCCAGGGCATAAAAGTATCGATTATTATTATCCGCAGAACAATAGTTTGAGGCGTAAAAGACAAAACAGCGGTGACAATTTGAATGGATCACTAAAAGTGATGACACCAGGTGTTCGCGAAAAGGGGAAGTATGTCCTGCCGTACAGATAGCATTTGGGTAGGAACATGTTTCGGTAGACTCATCGCACTGGGGAAACAGCTGATACACACGGTTTGGACACTTTGCCGCTGTAAACTTAGTTGCCTACTCATCCTCACACTCGATATGCAGTAAAGTAAATGTTGACACTTTGTCTTGAACCACAGAGTTTCAATAGGCAAAACATTTACATCGTACACTCACCTCCATAATGTTAAAATATACTTTGTGAAGTCCACAGTTGTAAGTAATTATCACGTGTTCAGGGTGTCGAGTATTGCTTGTAGGTTTCTATCTAGAAACAAAAGAAAAGCGGGGTAAATTTAAGAATGTGAGTTGGTTCCTGTCAATTTGAGTGAATGGTTTGTTAAAGACCACTTTAAACAACAATTCAACAGTTTAGTTGGGGTTATAAGTGGGATTACTGACAGATGGGGTTACAAGTAGCCCAGTCGTCTAAAGCAAGGTGATATGCACAGTTGCGTCCTTTAGAAACATATGATCGTGTTTTTAACAAAACCCAGAATCGCCCTGAATGAACTACTGTACAAGCGGTGTTTATCTCAATTCTCAACAGTAATACACGTGCTAGACGTTTAAGACCTTGGCGCACCTGTATGGTGCTGGGAAAAAATAAATGATACACAGCTGGAATCTGGGCTATGCCCTGAGTAACGGATCATTTTAAGGCAGGTCTTTTGAGTGTGTGTAGTTTGCACTGTCTCGCCAGGCTGGTTATACAGTTCACAATACCTAATGATATTATATACACAAAAGCATGGAATGTTGGATTTCCGGCACCCACCGTAATGATACACATGCAGTAACAACGTTGAAATACGAACCCGTGAATATGTGCGTATTAGCGGACGCACGCGCGCACGCAAGCACACACAGAGGTTAAAGCTGAAGCCAGATTAATTCGTTGCAAGTTTACCCAGTCTAGTCCATATTAAACTCATACCTTCTATCCCCGTGTATAGCGATTCATTAATCATTGCAAATTGTCCCGCCTCCTCTGCCCTCTACATTGGTTTCGAGAAAGATATGTTAAATAAAGAGATTTTAAAGCATCTCTGCTTTTTCTGTAATAGTGAATCTTATGATTCCGGAAGTAGAATCAACCAGACTCGAAAATTCATGTGATTTCTCTGACTTCAACCGTATTGAGATTGGTAATTTCTCTCAATGATAATGAAAATGACCAAAAATCGTTGAGTCAGTTTTACTTTTTAAAATTTTGCAGGAATGGCCAGTGAATTCCTGGTTCAAAATCAACTGCAACAACAATAGCGTGACGTCACCATTAGGGTGATAATAAAGTGACAACATACAATTCCAGAACTAGTAACGAATGAGAGTACCGTCCTACCCTAATGTCGACTGGTAGAGAGATTATAGAAGGCAACCTACCTCAAGTCGCTGTGTAACTACGAATGCAGAAACGCGTGGAATTGTGTCCCGGTAATATTGCATTGTGATCTTGTTCATGATAAGATAAGCAGAAGGAAATATGCACTATGCAAACTTAAACCTTGACTTCGGCGCAATTTTTTTGTCTGTGAACCTGCCCAATCTAAAACTTTAATATATTATCCAGTTGAAAGATAAGAGTGAGTGAGTTAAAATTTAACGGCCCATCGGCATTATTTAAGTCATATAGCGATGAGACCAAGTTAAGTTATTCACATTTGAGTCATTTATTCAAAGTAATATTTAAAATCAATTTATGAAACATATTTGAGAATAACAATATCATGTTTAGAGTTTTCAAACACGGGCTATAGGTCACCAGTAACTAAAGCTGGGCCACCTCGCTTGGGATCGTGCGGACTTACAGTACCTTGGCTTCCTGCATAATACCCAAGCAAGATTTATTTAAGCTACTGGTGGTTGTGCACAATACTAGCCAGTATAAAAAATACTCAGCAATGAGTTAGCTTAAAAAATACTGGATGAATATCTCCTCACCAGTGTGTTAAGATGATATGATATAGGTTTCGTCAGTAAACTTGATGGAGGTGTTTTGATACATTAACAACAAACTGTATTAGCGATTCATTTACAATTTCCTGAAAACAATCAATAAATATTAATTTTATGTTGAGCAAACAGCCGTGACCCAAATCTCGAGGAGTAGTCGAGATCAGCCCAGGCAGCAATATAGTCCATTTAATAAAATTGTAACAACACACGTGCTGTTCGCAGGAAGAAAACATATAACGAGGGGCGTTCAATACGTTTTGCAACTTTAATATAAGACCAAGTTGCAGAATATCTTTATCTTTATTTTTCAATATAATCTCCATTCACCTCAATACACATATTCCATTTGTCCTTCAAGCTTTTCATACCACTTTTATAGAAATCCGCAAATTGGCCCTCTAACCACGCCTCTGTGACAGCCTTTATGTATTCGTCATCCTGGAAGCGTCTTCCACGTAGGGCAGATTTCCTTTGCCGGAGCAGGAAATAGTCACTGGGGACTGTGTCTGGGCTGTAGGGTGGGTGATTTAACTGTTCGAATCCACATTGACATATGGCGGCCTGTGCAATTCTCGACTTGTGAACCAGAGCGTTGTCATGCAAAAGTAGAATACCATGTGTTAACATCCCACAGCGCTTCTGGCGAATAGATTTTCGCAATTCTTTCATTACATTAGCATAATACTGTCCATTAATTGTAGGTTTTGGTGGCATGTAATCAATCAGTAATATGCCTCTTGCATCCCAAAATATGGTGGCCATTACCTTGCCAGTCGATGGTTGAGTGCGAAACTTCCTCTGAGGCGGAGAATTGGGGTGCCTACATTGCATGGATTCCAATTGAGTTTCTTGGTCCCAGTGGTAGATCCATGTTTCATCACCTGTCACTGGACGAGAAAGAAATCTGTTTCCATTAGCAGTATAGAGATCCAGGAGGTCTCAACAACTTTCAGTTCTCTGATGGCGATCTTGAGCTCTGAGGTTTCTAGGTACCCATCTTGCAGATATCTTGGACATACCAAGATGCTCACGAATAATGGTTACAACAGTTCCAACTGATATTTGGAATTCCCTAGAAAGTTCAGATACTTTTACTCGTCGGTCAGAAAAAAATCTTCTTTCTATAGCAGCAATGGGGTTCGGTAGGGTGGCATCTGAAGGTCTGCCTGACCTTGGGTCATCATCTATGGACTCCCTACCCCTTTTAAACTGTAGAGACCAGTTGCAAACGGTAGAATTGTCAGGAGCATCCTTACCCACCACTTTACACATGCGATCATGGATTTCTTTTGCTTTGCATCCCTCCTTGGTAAGGAACTTTATTGCAGCGCATTGTTCATGTTTGAGAGAATCCATGATTGTGACCACCCTTAGGTGAATGAAGCCATCACACCTAACTTATTGTTGTGTCTGATGTTATGACTAGTGTCACACCTGCCAAAAGTTGACATTGTTTGTGTAACTACAAATGCCCAAGTTGCAAAACTTATTGAACGCCCCTCGTAGATATAATTTTATCCAACGTTATCAATCAGTAATCATAGAAGTAACATCATAATGTATAAAGTGATCATTAAGTAACGGAAGTAGTAATGACAGGTGTCGACACTGAATTCTTGCAGAGGCTCCAGCTGCCAAAGTGTCAACGGCCTCTAAATCAAACTGCCATCTCTTGGGTACAAGGTGACCAAATTACCCTTGATAAAAATACCAAATATTTCAAAATAACCAAGAGATATTGACATCTGCTTTCGAAACAGAGAATCTTCTAACTCAATTAAAACATCAAACACAACACATAAAATTGAAACATGTTGAAGCCCATTTATCATCGAGCCTTTGCACTCCAGCGTTTGGTGATGCCTTCTATCACAACCTTTGTAAAGGTTCATAATTCTTTTGAACCTCTTGAGATGGAGGTTAGTCCTTCACTCCCAGGCTGTGGGAATGTGCCTTCCTCCCGCTCAAGATATCCATTTGAGACCCATGAGAAGCTCAAGCAAATTCAGTAGAATTGCAGAGGACTGCGCAATAGGTTTATTGATTTAGTAAAACTTAAATATACAGAAGAATTTAAACTATTAGCATTTTGTTAGCAGGAAACGTGCCTACAAGTACAGCTCTAGTTGCTATCATGTTATAATTTCTTTTCTCCTCCAGGCGCTAACACTACAGGAAGATCTTCAGTTTGGGTGTGACAGGATGTCATTTGGGGAGGGGCAACGGGGGTGAGATGCATTCAGCTTGGGAACAAAAAGACAGAATGCAGAGAATTGTTGCCTGTTGAAACACCAGGCAAGTACCTTATTAACATCAGAGTATGTGACCAAAGGCAAAAGAGAATTACTGTCAGGGACCATTTCAAAACTTATTTGCTTATATAATTAATTGTAGTTTCACTATTGCTTGTTGGGTGTACTTAAAAGTAAACTAAAACTAAAACTAAAATCTTAATAAATATTATTATAAATTATAGAACTGGTTTAACATACATCTACACATAAGACCCGTGAAAATCCGGGTTAGAATGGGTCTTCAGCAACCCATGCTTGCCGTAAAAGGTGACTATACTTGTCGAGGCGACTAACGGGATCGGGTGGTCAGGCTCGCTGACTTGGTTGATGCATGTCATCGATCCCAATTTGCGTGGATTGATGCGAATGATGTCAAGCACTGGATTGTCTGGTCCAGCCTTGATTATTTACAGACCGCCATTATATAGTGAGTGAGTGAGTTGTGTTTAACGCCGCAACCAACACATAAACAAATGTATAAAAGAACAAATATTGTTTTGCTACATACGTTATGCGGGGCTCGTCTGGCCTCAGCTCTTCTCCATATATCGTGTGTGAAGTGGGAGAAGCAACATGTCCACTCACACGGGAATATGGTCATGGCAACATTTTGGCCATCGTCTTCAAAGTCCTTCTGCAAATAAAAACATCAATACTTAATTAATAGGTACGTCACATGTTTATCCATTTGCAATATTAATGAATAGTTTACTACCAGATGAATAACCGCACATCAGGTTTAATTGAATTCATTCCTGGAAGGTTTGGAGCGAAAGCTGTTATCCTCTCAAAGTAGCAGCATCTGGAAATAAATGGAACATCCTGTCATACGTATACGTAGTATGCTTCTTATCGGGAAGGAGGGAATATACGTGACGGAACATCTCTTGTCCACAAATGTGTGAATGATGACCAGTTGAAGGAACATTATAATTGGCACCCCTGCTGTTCCATCGCTATAAATTACCTAAGCATCGCAGAGATGACAAATGTTGTCACCGTCGTCTATTAGCAGAAAACCATCACCACCCTCTGTCTTGCAGAGCTTGTCTGTAGTTCTAAGTAGTGTCTAGTGGTGGGTCACTGTGGAAACATCTTCTTTTTGGCTCGGTAGAGGGTGTAGATGTGAAATGATGGCATGGCCTCCTCGCTCCACTCTCTCCCTCGCAATTTGTTTGACCTCTTCTCGGTAAAGGGATGGCAAAGACGTGGTTGTTGTGCAGCCCAATTCTTTGTGATATCCATGGTTACCTGCACCTAAAACATTAAATTGCGTGGTTAGTTTTTTTCAATATAACCATCATTATTTTATTAACATGAGTTATGACATGACATGTGGACACTATTGCAGGACACGTCTTCTAGAAACACTCACATGATCGTCAATCATGTCTCTTCTTGATTGGTCATGTAAGGCGACGGAAGTCGCTGTGCAGACCTATTATTATGTGTTCCAATCCCGGTTCGCCCCGATTTTGTTTCTAGGTGTGTCAGCACCCGTGCCGTGGGTTTCACCAAAACGGTAAACGTCTGAGACCTGTATCACTTCGGGCTTTCATCCCACTTCATGCTGACACGCTGTGGTATAACTGGAATCTTGTTCAAAGCGGCGTTAAACCTAACTAACACACTCACTCACGCTCTGCTTGTTTGATTTGAACATGTATCCTCGAAAAACATGGAATACGTCCATCGCGATGTATGTTTGTCATGTTGCAAGTGCACAGACTGTTTGCACAGGCTCCACCTACTAAATATATTCTGTACAATGTTCTTCATTCAGTCTTGCTTGACAAGGGCATGGGGATCTGTACCGAAACGTCGCCTTTACAGTATTAAAGTTGTTATCCAAAAATTGTGTCTACTTTGTCATATGTGTATCATGTAGTAATTGCTGACTGAATAATCTTTGTTTGTGTGGAGTGAATGAGAGAGACATACAACATAAAAAATAAATATGATCCTTTACCAACATAATATCTCAGAAATGGTAAAGTGATATTGTGTAATTTCACCGTGATCTGAGTCTGTGTAAGTGCAAGTGAGTTGTCTCCCCTCTTACTTAAGTATGGAGCGCACTTAAAATATACACAATTAAGCTTGTCAGAATCATCACCACTACCTTATTCAAAACACAAGGAATATGTTTGTTTGTTTGTTTGTTTGTCGATCTACACATAATCGAGTAAAAACCAGACAAGAATCCAGTGATTGACATTATGAGAATCGTTCTGCGCAATTGGGATATGATGACATCCATCATCCAAGTCTCCTCTTTCGACAGGCGTGGGTTGCTGAAAACCAATCTTAACCCAGAATCTTTAACGGCTAACGGTCCAGAGAGATTATCGAGCCCGAACGGAATTAAGGATTTTTAATTAGGAAATTGTAAATAAATTATCTCCTTTGATACATCGATTCAATACTAGAACAAATTCTGAACACGATCGATTCATCTACCAAAACGCTAATGTCAGAGTTAATGAAGAAAGACTTGTTGAACTCGGAGTATCCTCTGCTGACAGACCCACATATGACATGTACTAAAGTAATCCTATATGTACTAGTAAGAGAAGACAGAAACACTCCCGAAGAACCCCATCAGCTAGCCACGGCCCTTAACGGGCAACGGACTGCACAGCCGCAGCCTTGTGTTATACATCTGAGAAGTCTGCCAGGAGACGACATATCTAACAATGAGTGCTATGTCCTCCACAGTCAAACGCTCATTCTAGCATAGGATATCCGGAATATAAGCACTTCACTGTCACTGTCATTGTCATGTTTTATGAAAAGAGAAATGTGGTTGATCTCCCTGTAATAACTATAAGTCTTTAAGCAGCTAAAATTCTCAGGACGAAATGTACAGTTTTTATCCACGATAAAACCTTCACCTGAAAAGTATCTATCAACGAAGGATGACAGGATGTTTCCTAATGGTGAAGCAGGGTCAAAAATCTTGAAAATGTATTTAAGAGTAACAAACTTAGGTGTCACATTTCACAGTACAGACGGTCATCTCTTAGCCTTGTGAGGTCCACATATCGTCTGTTCGAATTTCCGATTCTGACAGTTCTGCGACAAACGTGGATCTCTCCCTTCTGTGGATAATGTCCCCAGTCTGGAACACTTACGTCTCTCCTCCTTCTCGTCCTTTTGTTTATGCGGAGTAAATCCGTTTTTACTCACAAAAAGCAGGGGTACAATAGGTCTTCAGCAACCCATGCTTGCCGTAATAGGCGACTAACGGGATCGGGTGGTCAGGCGGGCTGACGTGTTTGATGCATGTCATCGTATCTGGTCCAGACTCGATTATTTACAGACCGCCGTCATATAGCTGGACTATTGCTGAGTGCGGCGTTAACAAACAAAGACAAAAGACACTAAAAGCAACAGTAAAATATGTAGGTATTTTATAACACAATACATATGATACAAGCACAAGTTGGTTGTATTCACATGACTCAACCGTCACAAGTCAACGTCTTTTTGTATGACGCGGCCGGGGATCGAACCCCGGACTTTCCGCTCTCCGGTTGGACGCACTACCACTATCACAAGTATAAACATTATATACAACTATACTCTCCACTACAAAGCTTGAAATGCATACTAGCTGTATATTCATCATGTACGATTTTCTCGGGAGAATATGATTATAGTCGCCTGTTTATAAGTGTAAACAAGTTACATCAATTAATTATTTGTTATTTTTCGTCTTTCACCTTCTCAAACACCTGTGTGCCACGTTGCTTAATCGACGATTATGCCTAAAAATTGGTTGGTTGGTTTGTTGTTTAACGCCGCACTCAGCAATATTCCAGCTATTTGACGGCGGTCTGTAAATAATCGAGTCTGGACCAGACAATCCAGTGATTGATATCATTAGCATCGATCTGGGCAATTGGGAACGATGACATGCTTCAACCAAGTCAACCAGCCAGACAACCAGATCCCGTTAGTCGCCTCTTACGACAAGCATAGTCGCCTTTTACGACAAGGATAGGTTGCCGTAGATTGTATGTTATTCGACTGGGAAGTATACATTAATCGCACCAAACCACACAATGTGACAATTATTGGTACATCAGTTACTCATGTTTTATCATGTACCGAAAAGCCACGCGACAGCCACACTTTGGTTCTGGTCGGAAGTCCCCCGGCTGAAGGTGAACACCGATACGCTTCAGATCCTCATTGAGGAAATGGACAAGATTGGTCCCATCCGTTGTGAAGGAGGAGTATTTGACGTTGATGACCTGATGCCCCTCAGGAATACCAGCCACCTTGCACAGAGTGAACATGTGTTGAGAGGAATCCGAGAACTGGATGTACAAGACACCACTGTGATACCGACTTGCCATCAGGCCTTCCCGCACCTGATTCAGGCAGTCGTCATACCCGGCTATTCCACGTTTCCACTTGTCTCTCAAAGCCTGTGCAAAGACTTGTCCCCATTGTAAATGTTTAGCAAGCAAAAGGCTAATGCCGAAAATGTTTGCATATTTGCTTACAGCAACTGCCTTGTCGGGAGTGTACTGAGCATTCTTTGTCTTGTCTAACGAGCTCTGTCTTTGTTTACAGACAATGCATGGATACCGAGCGTATGCATAGATCAAATTACTAGAAGCTATATGTCCATATATTTCCAATGTATTTCATAAAGTTTGATGGTGCATTGATGCCTGTACATGGTCATGGAAGGAAATAAAGTGACAAAAGTTATTGATTCGGCTTGTATTTCTCTTGGTATTTCAAACATCAGGGTGCCAATCTTATCTCATATATGCCAAACCTGCATCAAACATGTTGTACAATTCCCTATATATTTCTGTACGGGGAAGTTTAAGGGAAATGTTTCATTTTCAAACGTTTGAAATAAGGTTTGAAATTGTAAACTGTCCAAATTAACACAAATACATATGTACACATGAAAAAGTCATTAATTTGTGTGTGTGTGTCGCTACCTCCTGCCACGTGACATAACACACCTGCAAGATTGTAGGCGGGTATGGACACTGATGTAAGTGTGTGCATTTCTCCAACATTTCCAAACATTCCCAAACTAGGCATACATATAAATATAACCAAATGATTTGGAATGCTTGCAAAATGTTTGCATTTTCATCAATACCAACACCTTTCAAAACGTCAGGAAAGATGCTTTTTCGTGTCGTGATAGGGGGCACGGGTGGCCCAGTCGTCTAAGGCGCCGCGATTCGCTGTGCATAGTTGCGTCCCCTGGATCCGCCAGAAACCTATGATTGTGGGTTCGAATCCCGGTTCACCCCGATTATGTTTCTAGGTTTGTCAGCACCATACCCGTGCTCGTTGGTTTCACCGAAGTGGTAAACGTCTGAGACCTGCATCACTTCGGGTTTTCCTCCCACATTAAGCTGACACGCCGTGATATAACTGGAATAATGTTAAAAGCGGCGTTAAACCCGACTCACTCCTTCACTCGTGTCGTGATTAGGAAACGAACATTAAATAGATGTCTACTATAACTGAACCAACACGAGGAACATTTTGTTTTTACCAAGACCAACACTGAATTCTGAATACTCTTCATCACTCTCACAATGGGTTCAAAATAAGTCAAGAGTGAAAAGGAACCCAGTATACTGCAAGCTTTAATCAATTCAGCTATTAACGATATTCACAAACATTCTTTTACATTGTACATATGTCAAAAAGTACGCACAAAAGTAACAATTTTCATTTTAAAAATGTTTGTGTCCTGGCCTTACATAAAAGCGACAAAAACCACCTGGTTCGGCAAAATGGCAACGGATTTGTTTTACGCCACAGTCAGCAATATTTCAGCTATTTAACATCATCTAAAACCCTGGTACAAGTAGCAAACAGTCAGCCAGTGTACCCACCCTAGTCGGCACTTGCAACACGTATGGCATATCATGGACCTATTCTGACACGGAAATCCCAAGGAAATTAAGAACCTAGAGAAGCAGCAAAACGTAAATCGCTCTGTTAACAGTTGTCTTGCATTAGTATCCTGTTTGAGTTTGAGTCTATATACATTGAAAAGAAATGTTCCGTAATAATACTAGTAGATCTTGCTAGATTTGATCATCAATTAGACGAACATTAACCAATGACCCAGCGCTTCAAAATCACAGCAGCAGGCAACAGAGCTCTCCACCCATGCCACGGTGGATTCACATTCCTTTCATCAAATTATCTGTCGACTCAATGTGTGACAATTTGGATCATCGTCCAATTCTGAATCCCATTGCTGCTTTGCGACCACATACCGGGCATACCCTCAGACAAGAGTCGGTGAAGATATTACGTCTTTTCAGGTCGACTGCAAGAAGATTGAAAAAGATAGATGGGTTTGGGTCGAATTCTAAACCAATGGTGTCATAATTGCGTGGGAACCCTGTTTCTGTAATCCCTAAGTGATCACAATTAGAACTTCTTGTTTGAATGTAAAAGTAACTTGTGTTAATATTGTTCAATTTACTTTTCACACAATCCAAAAGACCTTGGTAGCCAGGTAGCTTCTTTTTCCATATTCCGTAAAGCACTTGTTCAAAGTCTTCGAGGACAGGTGCCCTCAGTTCCTCTAATCCAAAGTACTCCGCATATTCATTAACCTGTGATGCTCTTTCGGGTGGAGGCATTTTCCCGAATCTCAGAAAGTTGAGGATATGAACAAACACATCCCCATCTACATCTATGAAGTAGCGGCCATCTTTGTCCTTGGCTACCGGATGCCTTCCACTAAACATGGTGGCCAACATGGAGTCCGGGTACTTGGTGAGGGTAGACAGGGAGGTTGTCAGATGTCGACCACCAACGTTTAAGTCCACAACTTGAGAATCCTGAAATACAACACATTGTTAATGCACATGTGATTCTACCTTACATTTAGAAAATACTCGATTCTTATTGGTCTATTACGACAAGCATGGTCGCCTTTTACGGGTTCCTGAAGACCTATTCTACCCCGGAATCTTCACGGTTTGAGAGTAACTGGTGTTCATGTGGAAGAGATGCTATTGCCAGTGCTGATACAAGTCAATACGTAAGGTTATTGAGTACATGGTACCTCCAGCTTATCAAACGTTCAGAAAGGCAACTAGGAATAATGGACTTGCCAGAAACCTATGATTATGGGTTCTAACCCGGTTCGCCCCGATTATGTTTCTAGGTTTGTCAGCACCATATCCGTGCTCGTGGGTTTCACCGAAGTGGTACACGTCTGAGACCTGCATCACTTCGGGCTTTCCTCCCACATTAAGCTGACACGCCGTGATATAACTGGAATATTGTTTAAAGTGGCGTTAAACCCAACTAATTCACTCTCTCACTCATATGTACACTCATTCCGGTTATGATTCGAAAGAGTGAGTGAGTGAGTGTGGTTTTACGCCCCTTTTAGCAATATTCCAACAATATCACGGCGTGACGAGCGAACGCTTCAACCACTAGGCTACCCGACCGCCCGATTCAAAAGACGAAAGGTGAGGTGAAATGGGGTTTAACATCGCGTCCAAGATTATTGCACTTATATAGCGACGTGCATGTGTTTGTGTGGTTGCTTGTACTAGTCCGGACTGATGCCGATTTATAGTGCTAGCTCACTGAGATACCATGCCGCAGTTTAACATGAATACCCCACTCAGACACGGAAAACTGACTCCGAGCCGACCAGTCCTTGTTTAAGCCCCTTAATGCCGAGCGCCAGACAGGGTAACAACAAGTACCATCTTTTAACGTCTTTTGGTATCACGCGGTCGGGGATCGAACCCCGGACCTTCCGCTCTCCGGGCGGATGCTCTACCACTAGACCACGGAGGCGGTCAAAAGACGAAGGAGCATGTGAGTGAGTAAAGCTTCAGGCCACTTTTAGCAATATTCCTTTAATATCATAACGAGGCGCCCAGTGATAATCCAGGTCTTCGCAATCATGGGATTGTAACTATAATCTTCATCGGAAAATTATGATTATTAATCATACCCCGAAAACACTTTTATGGACAACCTCGATAAATATATTTACCAGGCAAATAAGGTCAAATCTGTTCAATGGTAAGTCTTTTTCTATTTGGTTTTGTTTTATCTCCTCCTAGGCTAAGGTTTAACGTCGTATCAGTCATGTCTGTGCCATATAGCGACAAATAAACTTTTCGAAGATGGGTATGTGAAAGAGAAGCGGTTCTGCGCCACATGGGATCAACGATTTATCAGTTAGTGTAATAATGATCTAAAAATATCATTTGACTCGTGACATGTTTAGGGTCATTGTGACCCACATAGCTATAAGGCGAGGGAAATTATATGTATACTAGTATATATACAATGGAAATTCAACACAATTTCGTTTGTTTTATTTAAGCGGCTTCGGGAAGTATACTTTTGGGAATGCATGGATTTTTTTTCAGCAGACTGATCTTTAACCACTAGATTACCCATCGCATATTATCGGGGTCATAGTGACCCAAGGTTATGGAAAACCTGGACGTGTGCTAGATTAGTCACAGTTTCAAAACGTATTATACCAGATTTATAAAGACTTTTGTACGAAGAATTAGCTTGGTAAGACCAGCGTACAAATGGCTCCAAGGACAGCCATTTGTACGCCGATCAAGCCACTAGAGCTTGTACTTAAACCTTTGAACACATTAATATTAGCTGCACATTTGTCGTCCTGCAGCTGTTGCTTTACACACAACGTCTACATATGATATTGATTTACGACTCAGTATCAGCTCTTTAAACTGTGGTGACATTTTGATAAGTTGACAAGCACATGATAACATATGACATATGATTTCATGTTCAGGACAGACTAAGGCTTCTGAAAAAGTAGGGTTTTTTGGGTTTTTTTTTTTTCTAATTTTACAAAACCTTTTGAAACAAGGGTAAATTTGTATAAGTGGACAAGTAAATAACACTTAGCACTGACCAGAATGTGACCGGGACAGTTACAGTGATTCAGATTTATTATTAATTAACTTTAAAAATAATGATTACTTCAGACAATGAGGGAAGATTGTTAAATACCCTCTACGCTTTGTGGTATGTTTTTCCTCGAAAACAGTAACACTTACCGCCATTGTTCTGTCACTGGGTGAAAACAGTAACACCTACCGCCATTTTTCTGTCACTGGGTGAAAACAGTAACACCTACCGCCATTGTTCTGTCACTGGGTGAAAACAGTAACACTTACCGCCATTGTTGTGTCACTGGGTGAAAACAGTAACACTTACCGCCATTGTTCTGTCACATGGTGATAACATTAACACTTACCGCCATTGTTGTGTCACTGGGTGAAAACAGTAACACTTACCGCCATTGTTCTGTCACTGGGTGAAAACAGTAACACTTACCCCCATTGTTGTGTCACTGGGTGAAAACAGTAACACTTACGTCATTGTTCTGTCACTGGGGGAAAACAGTAACACTTACCCCCATTGTTCTGTCACTGGGGGAAAACAGTAACACTTACCGCCATTGTTGTGTCACTGGGTGAAAACCGTCTATTCAATAAGGGCTCTTGGAAGTAGTGCGGTGGACATGAGTGTTGATCAGAGCTGACGTGTCGGAATTTTCATCAACCACATGGTCTACTTTCGGTTCTGTTTCTAGGAAAGAGGGAAACAGCAGACTTTCAATATCATTTACATGGCTACTTTCATATCGTGTTATGACTCATCTGTCTGCTCATACGGTTCTACGGCGGAGCTAAGGAGCTTGTTATTGAGTTGGAATGTGAACAGGACGAGTGAGTGTGTTTGTTTGTTGTTCAACGCCGCGCTTAGCATTATTCCAGCTATATGACGGAGGTCTGTAAATAATCAAGTGTGGACCAGAAAATCCAGTGATTAACATCATGAGCATCAATCTACGCAACTGAGATACAATGACATGCATCAACCAAATCAGTGAGCCTGACCATCCGATCCCCTTAGTCTCCTCTTACGACAAACACAGTCGTCTTTTACGGCAAGCTTGAGTTGCTGATACTATTCTGCCCCGGATCTTCACGGGTGGAACGAGCGAGTGAGAGTTTGGATGTAGACGCGTTCGAGGGCTTGAATGTATTATTCACATGGGCGACCAATGCTGTTTTCTATACCATTTCAAATATACGTCTTTTACTTTCAGGAAACAGTTACCGCTGTTCGTTTACTTACACCAATGACTAAAAGTACACTCAGTATACCAAAATTGGAAACAACAATTTAGACTTTAGGTATAATTTTGTCAATGTTTTTATTCCCTGAAAGTTAAAAAAATACAACGACTTAAGAAAATTATCAATAGATTGTGTACTTTACGTCCCTAATGATACAAAAATTGATGATAAAATATTGAATCAAGGCATATACAAAATTGCAAATTGTTTAACGATGAGAAATTATTCTTTAGTGAGTTCGTGAATGTCGTTTTACGACACAATTGCTAATATGCACCTATTCGCGGGTATATATGTCTACGTGTTTACTGTATGTTTAGCAAACCAGCTGATGCAGTTTTCAAAACCAATACTCCATGCTTCTCGTAAGAGCGGAATGTTTACGGAGATGCGACTGGTTACAGGCGGTGATCACATATACATGCTCGCACTATCAACCACTGGTCTGCCTGGTCCAGATTCGATCATTTACAAGTCTCCCTGATATAGCCGGTGCCAACTGCTATACACGCATTGCTATACACCCACTTATACCACCGGGACGGTCGGGTAGCCTCGTGGTTAAAGCGTTCGCTCGTCACGCTGAAGACCCGCGTTCGATTCCCGACAAGGACTGGTCGGCTCGGAGTCAGTATACTGTGTCTGAGTGGGGTATTCATGTTAAACTGCGGAATGGTATCTCAGTGAGCTAGAATTATCAATCGGCATTAGTCCGGACTAGTATAAGCAGCCACACAAACACATGCACGTCGATATATAAGTGCAATAATCAATAACCCCATTTCCCCCCACCCCACCCCCCTTTCGTCTTTTGAATCGGGTGGTCTGGTAGCCTAGTGGTTAAAGCGTTCGCTCGTCACGCCGAAGACCCGGGTTCGATTCCCGACATGGGTACAGTGTGTGAAGCCTATTTCTGGTGTCCCCCGCCGTGATATTGCTGGAATATTGCTAAAAGCGGCGTAAAACGATACTCCCTCACTCACTCACTCACTTCACCCACCGCATGAACATGCCCAAAGGGACGCAACTCTGCACGGCGAATACGGCGCCTCAGACGACTGGGCCACCCGTGCCCCCTAGAATTGATAGAAACCATACAAAAATATCTTATATGGACTATGAACAGTTTAACACAGTTGGAGGTACTGGGTATAGTACACTCTTTCAAGTGAGGACAGCTTTAAATTGATTGGTTACTGATGTTGACAAGCAGCTGGTTGCCTGGCCCAGAATTATTTAATCAATTATTTAAAGTCCGCACAGATATTGCTATACTACTGGAAGAGGCATGGCATGGCATGCATCCACAGGCTCATCACGCGTTGGTGTACAACAGCTGCAATTTCGGAAAGCTTTTTCTGATAGGAACATCCAGTGCTAAGTGTTATATAATTGTCCACTTATCCAAATGCTACCCTAGTTTCAAAAGGCTTTGTAAGATTAGAAAAACTAATACAATGTCGCACATCAGGAAGAGAATTTATGGATGTCAACTTCTTTATTATGAGGAACACAACCTTCGGAGTGTGTGCTTACTCCTCCATCAGGTGAATGAATGCTATGAGGAAGGGAGCATATGTATGTACACGTTAAAACAACAAAAGTAATAAAATGACAAAAGGTGGAAACTTAACAAGGGAAGCCAACAGATAATTGGCGCTGATAGGCGATTAGCAATAGACAATGAAAGCCAACATTGTACAGTAATTAGCGTTGATAGTTATGGACAACTGGAAGCCAGGAATAGATTATCACTGATAAGAAAATGGCAATGGACAATAGACAACAGGAGGCCGGGGGTAATTAGCCCTCTGCCTCATATCATTCATTCACCTGATGAAGGAGTAGGCATATACTCAGAAACGTTGTGTTCCTCATAATAAAGAAGTTGACATCCATAAATTCTCTTCCTTTTGTGTATTACTTCTAAATGCCTTTCAAAGTCTTGATCCATGGCTTTGTTAAAAATTGGTACAAAGCAATTATATTGATAGTGTTATAATAGGTCTCAACAATTCTCGCTCGGTTTCCGTTGAAAGACATGTTACAACTTTTGAGACAAATGACAAGAATTTAGTAGCCGTGGTAACAAGATTTATCCATCACTCTTCATTAAATAAGCCACCAATACTTATAATAACATACCAAATAATTACTTGATAAACAAGATCTGTTTATGAAGCGTGAAATATCATGAGTAAGTTAAGATTTATATAGATCAATATCCCTTTGGCAATATCAGGATCCGCTGTTAATTAGCTCGAATCCCTGATTATCCCTGAAGATTTCCCTTGGTTTGTAAGCACCATGCTCGGGTCTTGTGGATTTCACCAAAGTGGTAAACGTCTTCGACGTGTGCAGCCTTGAAACCTCCCTCCAACATCAAGCTGTAACGCTATGATATAGCGGACTTATTGTCATTTCACTCTAACTTTGTAACGTCGGGCTGTAAATAATTCAGTATCAATCACGTTTGATATCATCACCTATTTCCTACACCGTCTGCATGCGACAACACAAAATCACTCTGGGATACTGTGAACGTATTCTGCGCCGGAATTCCCACGAAACATGACCAATGTCCGACAAGATGTCAATAAGCTTACCATAAATCCGCTCACTGTCAGTTTATAATCCTGGAAAAAATTGACTTCAAAACATCAATTATCTTAACATTTCTTTCGGACACTATACAGTGTACGGTTGCTTGAGACTATATGTACAGGTTTGGATTTCTATTTGATTAAATTGTGCCTGACCTCTGTTTACGGTCAAGGTTGCCAGAGGTTACATTATTGAATGTGGGGTATGTTTATTTGTTTTCCCTGACAGGTCACGTGCAAAAGATAAATATAAATCTTGCCTGTATGTAGAAAAATATTCCAGCAGCTCCAGCCTTTGGTGTCTACATTTTAGAACTTTTGAGGTCCATCTGAGCATGCTCTGTCTAGGTAGGAGTGAGTGAGTATGGTTTTACGCCGGTTTTATCAATATTCCAGCAATATCACTACGGGGGACACCAGAAATGGGCTTCACACATTGTACCTATGTCGGGAATCGTACCCGGGTCTTCGGCGTGACGAGCGAACGCTTTAACCACTAGGCTACCCGACCGTCCCGTCTAGGTACGAAGATTAAATATATAAGTCAACAATATTAACTTCACACACTATTTATTTAATCATTAACATAACAAAAATGCCTATAAGAATACGAAATCAGTGAAAACGATCAGCGCAATAATGCGAAACAAACCCAGCCCACTCTAATCGGCCAATCAGGAAGCATCAGTAAGTTATTGGCGTGGCCTAATTTGCTTTTGGTTTATGGAAGCATAAACGAAAACTAAATGGCTATGTTACACAATCACGTTAAGTGTATTTATTTATTAACATTTGACCATTCGACTTCAGGGTACATGCATATTGTATTGTCTTCGTTATACAGCCATTCCCATATATCCGCATGTCAGTATATATAAATCTAAGGCACTTATAGTCTCCAAAGCATAGAAAGTAGGAATATAACAAGGTTATTTGTGTTAACAATGTCATAACCTTGTGGTATAATGATTGATATCCACCCTGACGTGATAGGCCCTGACCCCCACACCGGACCTATCGCCACCTTCGTCTACACCCTCTTAGAAAGAAAGTAAAAGTAAAATACATGTACGTTTTCTTCATGATCAGAAACAGACGAAATGCGAATTTCTGTTGGTGACGTTGATTAATCATTTGAGTTCATTCAGTGTACACTTGGGTGCATTGGCAATTCGATGCATTGCACCAAAACAGTTACAGTCGCTTGTTATTTCTTCCTCATTTGTGAAGATATCCAGACATTGTAAGTCATGTGCCAGTAGATTGAGTAACGGAGATCTCCTTATCTTTATCAAGACTTGTCAATCTGAGGCACCCCAGAAAGCTGACGTTGACAGCCATTCATAAAACATGAACATTGGGCGGTCCATATGCAATGACAAATATACCTTGAAGAAAAGTAAATATTCCTCAGTTCCCTTTCGAGAAGTGGTATCAGGAAACAAATGTCATTTAATATATCCATAGGATTCGCTAATGGCTTTCGGCAGGTAGCGTAATCCAAAGTATTCTGCATATTTCCGAACTTCTTTAGCTCTTTTAACAGGAGGCACTGTCTCGAATCTCAGAAAGTTGAGGACGTGAACAAACACATCTCCATCCACATCGATGAAGTAGCGGCCATCTTTGTCCTTGGCTACCGGGTGCCTTCCACTAAACATGCCGGCCAACATGGAGTCCGGGTACTTGGTGAGGGTGGATAGGCAGGTTGTCAGATGTCGACCACCCACATTTAAGTCGATGACAGCAGGGAACTGAAATATAGAACAATACACTATGTGTGCTCATCGACGTCTCAATGAAGTGAGGTAAAATTGGGTTTAACGTCGCGTCCAAGATTATTGCACTTATATAGCGACGTGAATGCACGTGTGTGTATGTGGCTGCTTGTACTAGTCCGGACTGATGCCAATTTATAGTGCTAGCTCACTGAGATACCATGCCGCAGTTTAACATGAATACCCCACTCAGACACAGTTTACTGACGCCGAGCCGACTAGTCCTTGTTTTAGCACCTTAATGCCGAGCGTCAGACAGGGTAACAACAAATACCATCTTTTAACGTCTTATGGGATGACGCGGCAGGGGATCGAACCCCGGACCTTCCGCTTTTCGAGCGGACGCTCTACCTCTAGACCGTGGAGGCGGTTGTCGTCTCAATGAACATCAGTTCACACATAAACATATCTGAAAACAGACTATAAGGGAGACAACTGATTTTGGTTTGGTTTGTTGTTTAATGCCGCACTCAGCAATATTCCAGCTATATGACGGCGGTCTGTAAATAATCGAGTCTGGACCAGACAATCCAGTGATTGATATCATGAGTATCGATCCACGCAATTAGGATCGATGACATGCATCAACCAAGTCAGCGAGCCTGACCACCCGATCCCGTTAGTCGCCTTTTACGACAAGCATAGTCACCTTTAAGGCAGGTATGGGTATCTGAAGACCTGTTCTACGCCGGATTCTTCACGGGTTGAGACAACTGATACAGTAGAGGATGATGGAATATGAAATACTGACCCACTGTGAATGATTTATTAAATGTATGAGAGTTTTTAATGGGATATTTTACTTAAATCTTCTTTAACTTTTAATCATTACCATGTCACACTTTAACAACGGTCACAACATCAATTCCTTCTTAACTCTATAGGGGGCATGGGTGGCCCAGTCGTCGAAGGCGCCCCGATTCGCTGTGCAGAGTTGCGTCCCTTTGTCACTCAAGAAACCTGATTGTAGGTTCGAATCCCGGTTCGCCCCGATCATGTTTCTAGGTTTGTCAGCACCATACCCGTGCTTGTGGGTTTCATAGAAGTGGTAAAGGTCTGAGACGTTTTTTAGATTTCGCTGGAGTGTTTTATCTCACTTATGAACCGTCTAAATGCAAGAGATACCGAACAATTAAGAAAACATCGAAAAGCCTTATAGTGAAATAATACAGCGTTTCGCGGTCCAAAGGAATTCGATTGAAGCATGCGAGAGAAAACGACACTTGCAACGTGGACCAGCTGGAGTCATGACATGTAAACTTCAACAAGCTTTTATCACCTGCCCTTGTGGCTCAGTGGGAAAACAGTGGATTACAAAACTAAACACGATATGTGAGGTTCTAGGTTTGATTCAGTCATGGAATTTTCATGTAACAAAATGGCAATCCCATTAAAATCAGATCTTAGTTCTCGCTATCGCTAAACAAATATCTTTGTTAAGTGGCAGCGAGAACTTTGATCTGATTTTATAAACCTATTCATTGGGATCTCTATTAAGTAAGAGCGTTCTTTCTATAGGCATTAAAACGTGTTGTGAGGTTTTACTTTCAAAGTAAAACCCATTAAGAGGTTTTACTTTCAAAGTAAAACCTACTGTGACGATTTTATTTTCGTTCGGCAGGTTTTACTTTGAATGTAAAACTCAAATCCCAGGTTTAACCAAGTAACTGAAAAAACGACAACAAGTAGCAATTCAAAATTTTAATTCAATTAAAATTTAATGTCATGTGTACAGTTCCGCGTGAACATTTAAAAGCGACCTCACTTCGGAGTCACTGGTGAAAGGACAGCGAGGTTTCAAAACACGTGCTTTTAAACAATTGCTTATCAATGCTGCACAGTTTGCACGTGCAGTAACTGCTAGCCGTTTCGTCACAACTATCTCTATGTAACAGTTGGATTGTTTAAAGTCGAAAATCTTGTAAAGCAAAAAACACCTTTAAAATTTGCGATTTTTCATTTTGAAAAGTTTAAAAGAAGTGGAATATTGCAACACAAACATTTAGAAACCGAAGATTTCACTTTCATTTAAAAGTAAGTATTTTAGTTGTGTTTTGTTGTTGACACAACCAAGTGCTCTTGGACGCCTGGCAAGTCGGTGTCGTGCCTGGTTAGCGAAAATCCAATTTTCCCTAGTATCAGTAAAGCGAAAACCCAAGGTTGGGTATTTGTGCCACGAAAGCGAGAAATGAGTAATTGCTAAAAAATCACCGGATTACCGTAGTTTAGATTAGCGCCCGTGCTGTTCAAATAGAGGAGAGGAGAGGAGAGGAGAGGAGAGGAGAGGAGAGGCGAGGAGATTTACTAGAGAGTCGTTTCGTAAAAAATAATACAGTTGGATGTTTAACCACAGGATAAGAGATGATCAGTTTCTAAATTGAACAAACAATTAGTTTCTTAGTTGATATGGGTTATGATACCGATGAGTTTAGAGGAGAGTCGTTTCTTAAGAATACATATAGTATGTATTTGATGGTATATATAAAGAGTGCAACTTATTTATCTATGGTCACTGTGGTCTATATACACTGATGGATCCAAGAATCCTATCAACAACAGTGCTGGTTACGGGATCCATATCCACAGCTCCAAACCCCAAGCACATTCAGTTCGCTTGCCTGATGGTCTGTCAGTATTCACGGCTGAAGTGGAAGCAATTTATCATGCACTCAACCTCATACCGGAACTCCTGGAAGCAAAGGCAGTCGTCCTATCAGGCAGTCGTGCACTTCAGGCCATCAGTGGCAGAAACTCAAACTCCAGGCCAAACACAGTCAACAATATTCTATACGAATATACAAAACTATCGGACCAAGGGCAACAGGTGGAGCTGTGTTGGATCCCCTCTCACATAGATATTCATGGAAATAAAAAAGCAGACTCACTGGCGAAGCTGGCTCTAGACAAAGCGGATATACAGCCTATTCCCTTTAGTAAACTAGAGATAAAAATCAAAATCAAAGCCTCAATAGCAGAGAGATGACAAGCCCAATGGGACGCAAGTAAGATCGGCAGATGGCCATACAAAATTCAACCCAAGGTCCAACAAAAGCCAAACTCATACTCAAATGAAAGGAAAATTGAAATTGCTATCTCACGCCTCAGACTCGGTCACAAAAAGCACTATGATAAGATTTGTTCATCTTGCAATCAGGCTGAAACCATTGATCACGTGTTACTAGAATGTCAAGACCATGCCCCAGCCCGGGCTAGGTTAAAACAAGAATTGCAGTTAGATCCGCTATCTGTCATAGATCTCCTAAAGCCAAGAGATGCAATAGCAAAGGCCAAACTAACTCTATTTCTAAGAGATGGACAGCTACTCGAACGTATATATACAGAGCAGCCAAGGATAGAAATGAAATCATATCAATATAAGAAAATAGAAATCATATCAATACAAAAACAGAAATTATGTGACCACCAAACTCACAATAGATATGTGTACCCTACTCACACACAGGAGTCCCAAAGAGGGACAGGTCAGCCGAAATTGCCTAGGCAGAAGGCGACCTCTTAAACACTTAATGCAACAACAACATTATCTATGGGCAAAATGGCTAACGCACAAGTTCGAGTGACCATGGTTGACACCGTGCGAGGTGGTCAGCACTTGTTTTATGAGGGATTCAAGTTTGGTTGTAAGATAATGGTCCGTGAGAAGAAGTATTGGAACTGCATTGGTGCTGCCTGCAGAGCATCGGTGATCACTGAAAACGGCATTCTTCAAGCGGCTTTGCGGGTAAGAAAATAATGCACATGATCTTGATGATAATAATCTTAAAGACATCGACTCAAAAGACTTTGCTTAACAAACTATTCAGTTATTTATTTTACTTATTATTATTACTTATTTCTAGATACCACAGGTATTTGTCACATGTATGTATTTGTTTATAGTTAATATTAGTTAAAATGCAATTATTCAATTGCAGGTGAACCATACCCACCAACCTATCCCATATGAGATGGAAGTGGAATCTTTCAAGTCCAAGCTCATCCACCAGCTTGACGGAAACAACGCCGATTTCAACCATATACGGAGATGAGATTTCCAGGCTTCGCCGCCACCACGACGTAGTTCCAGACGACCTGCTTAAGGAAATTCCTTTTCTTTGCATCCACAACGCCACAAGACCCTTCCCAAACTTCCTGCCACCCGACCTGAGATAAATCTTGAAGGACAGTGGACATTGACCGAAGCAGGAGAACACTTCCTTCAGTGCATCGACTACGACATTCTCATCTTCACCACAAGCAACAACATTAAGCACCTGTGTGCAGCAGATGAAGTGTTTGGTGGCGGCACCTTCTCCTCGGCTCCACGACTGTTTGAGCAGATCTACACGCTGCATGCTGAATTCCAAGGCCACATGTTCCCGCTTGTGCACTGTCTGCTCCCGAACAAGTCCGAAGATACGTACACCAGGACATTTGAACATTTACGTCTAATGGCTCAACAGCAGAATTGTTACTTCAATCCAAGAGGCACTCGTGAAGAGCAACCTCCTCGTGGTGAGTGCTGGGTAGCGCTAATAGCTCTTCCCCCGTGTGGAACCGGGGTAGAATATTTCCACAGCACCCCATTGCTGGTCGTAAGAGGCGACCAAAGTGGGCAGCCCATTTGCCGTGGGTTGCGTCCCTGTGTCGGCGGAGGACGGGAGTCTGGTAGTTGAGGGCACTGGTTCCTGGAACTGTGTTCCTTTGCCCAACACACTACTTCGACCCTTACTTCGCCTAGACGGGTGGTAAGATTAGCCCGGTCTTATCAATCGGCTGGTCATGCCAGGCCCTGTGCGTAATATTGTATATGCACTCCTGTGTTGTATTATAATGTATATTTTGGACTTGGCCAAGCATACTTTGTATGAATTACCAATTTTTGATGGAATAAATTGCCTAGAGTCTTACGCCAGAAGGCGGTGGCTCATGGGCCAATCTGGTGATGTTGACCTCTGTATTCTGTATGTCTCCAG